ATGAGCCCCGAGTTGCTTTTTGTCGCACAATGTTAGAAAGACACAGGAAAGATCCACAGTTCTTTGAAAAATTTTATGGTCGGATGAGACCACATTTAAGATGGGTACATGAACCTGCATAACTTACACGAGTGGCACGTAGCAAACCCACATTTGATGAGAGAAGATAAATCTCAATATCGCTTCAAGATAAACCATTGGACAGGAATTTTAAATGGTAAAATAATCGGTCCGTTTGAGTTCCCAGAGACTTTGACTGCTGAAGTTTATTTGGATTTTTTAAAAATCATGTACAAAATTTATTGGTGGACGTGCCACTGAGTATTTACAGGGACATGTGGTTTCAGCATGATGGCTGCCCAGCGCACTATGCACTCTCAGTGAGAGAGTATCTCGATCAAAACTTTCCAGGCAGATGGATAATGGTACAATACCGTGGCCAGCCCGATCACCTGATTTGAATCCTTTAGATTTTTTTACTGGGAACTGTAAAAGAAAAAGTGTATTTCAAGCCGATTCAAAATGTAGCTGAGCTACGGCAAAGACTATTGGAAGCAGCTGAGTTTGTTAATAACCGTGGATTCGCTCGTTTAATAACCCGATCTTTTAAGAAGATGTCGAGCGTGTATTGCGGCTGAAGGAAAACAGTTTGAGCATTTGCTGTAAAGGTAAATCATCATCAGCAGCATTTTGACGCCCACTGTTGTGCAAACAGTTATCCTTAAGGGTCCTTGTGCGTTTTCATAATCGCTGTTTAATTAGGAAATTTTGAAAAATTTTCATCAGTTTTTTTTCAAATAAAAATTGTGCATAAGTTAACGAGTAATCTTCTAAGTGTTATACCATTTTGGAATCGTTATTAAATGCGCCAACTTTTAAGGTTACTTGCCAAACTCTCGTAGTACTTTTTTTCCAGTACAGCCAGTTAAAGTTGAGCAAAGTTTTACTTTGGAATACTTGGTTGGGAAATAAGTGGCAATTTTTCCTGAACGAGAAAAGTTGGCAGTAAGGTTGAGCACCAGTTTGAAGATGCATTATTCATCATTACATTGTAAAAATAAAATCCAAAAAAAGTTAATATTTGTAGTAACAGGAGTTGACAGACTGCCGTAGGTGTGAAATTTCTATATCTTTTTCAAAGACCTATAATTTTCAAAACACATACATAAATTTTTTTAAATATTTTTCTGATAGCTGTTATGACTTTGCCTATCACCCGGTTTCGGATTGACGTCGACTTCTGGGACGCCCTGTATATATATATAGGTGAAAAATTAAAGCTTCCGCCTTTTGTAAAGCAAAGAGGACTCTATACTTTTTTTTTATTCTCTCTAGCTTTCAATGGACTTTGCCATCATCATCAGGAGCTGCAATTACATTGATAACAGTAGCAACAATAGTGTACAATGAATTTAAATTAACTTAACTTACAGTAGTATGTGAGGATGTTGCTAATTGTTGTTTACGTTCAGGATGAGGGAAACTCCCAGTAACATGGTGAAAGCTGGATAAATGGTACAATGGCCAAAATTATATAAAATACACACAACTGTGTGACAAGAACATGTTAAAAACAGATTAAAAATTTTTAGAACATGAAGCCGTGAAGCCACTTGATGATTGCACAAAATGGTGGGCATGGAATAATGAGTAAAATGAACCCTTTGACAGATACCCGAAGGTTGTCAGTGTCTGTGTAGAAAGATGCAACGGATTCTTTTGTGGGCGTGTGCTACGTTGCCAAATCACTTCAGATGATGTGATTTTCAAAATGTGTTATGTAAGAAATTGTCAAACCGACCAGAGGCAGGTGAATTGACTATATTTTATTAATGGGAAAATTAAATTAACAGTTATTATTAAATCGTGAGGTGAAAATTATGACTCTTCACAACCATAAATGGAATCTGTTTCTTGGTCTATTCCACCAATAAACTTCATTCCATTCAAATTTTAATAATTTTCTCCTCACGATTTAATAATAACTGTTAATTTAATTGCCCATTAATAAAATATAGTCAATTCAACTGCCTCTGGTCGGTTTGACGATTTCTTACATAACACATTTTGAAAATCACATCATCTGAAGTGATTTGGCAACGTAGCACGCCCACGAAAGAATTCTTTCCATCTTTCTACACAGACACTGACAACCTTCGGTCATCTGTCAAAGGGTTCATCTTACTTATTATTCCATGCCCACCATTTTGTGCAATCATCAAGTGGCTTCACGATGTAATGCTTTCATGTTCTAAAAATTTTTAATCTGTCAGCAGCATTCAGCAGTAAATTATGGTGTATATACGAAAAAAATCATAATTTTTCAAAATCGAGTTAGGTCCAGGATTTTGTCGAACAATCGTGATTATTCATCATATTCTAGCTACCCACCAAGCGGTTTGCCCCAACGACATCCGGAAGGCCCCTGTCCGCACTTCGATCAGAATTCGATCAGACACCTGGCATTTGTGAAAATCGACTTAGGTCCAGTATTTTATTGCATGTATCTCGTAGAATTATGATACTCTAGCTGGCCACAAAGCGGCTTTGCCGATTGTGCCCCGGAACACTGTTTTCCAGCCCCTACACTGTTTTCCAGCCCCTAGGGCACTTAACGCGGTGTATATACGAAAAAAATCATAATTTTTCAAAATCGAGTTAGGTCCAGGATTTTTTTAGATCATTCGTGATTATTTATCATATTCTAACCACCCACCCAGCGGTTTTTCAGCCCCTAGGGCACTTAATGCGGTGTATATACGAAAAAATCATAATTTTTCAAAATCGAGTTTGGTCCAGGATTTTTTTCGATAAGTCGTGATTATTATTATTCCTAAACCACCAAGCAGTTTGCTGCAACGACGTCCTGAAGGCCACTATCCGCACTTTGATCAGAATTCGATCAGACACTGTCATTTCTGAAAATCGACTTAGCTCTAGGATTTTATTATGTGTATCTCGTAGAATTATGCTACTCTAGCTGCCCACTAACCGGCTTTGCCGAGTGTGCGCCGGAAACATTGTTTTTGAGCCCCTAGGACACTTAACGCGGTGCATATACGAAAAAATCATAATTCTTCAAAATCGAGTTAGGCCCAGGATTTTTTTCTATCATTCTTCGTGATTATTTATCACATTCTAACCACCCATCCAGCGGTTTGCCCCAAAGACGTCCGGAAGGCCCCTATCCGCACTTGGATCAGAATTCGATTAGACACCTGTCATTTGTGAAAGTCGACTTAGGTCCAGGATTTTATTACATGCGTCTTGTAGAATTATGCTACTCTAGCCGCCCACAAAGCGGTTTGCCAAGTGTTTCCCGGAAATTGTTTTCCAGCCCCTAGGACACTAACGCGGTGCTATACGAAAAAATCATAATTTTCAAAATCGAGTTAGGCCCAGGATTTTTTTTTATCATTCGTGATTATTTATCACATTATCTAACCACCCACCCAGCGGTTTGCCCCAAAGACGTCCGGAAGGCCCATATCCGCACTTGGATCAGAATTCGATCAGACACCTGTCATTTGTGAAAGTCGACTTAGGTCCAGGATTTTATTACATGTGTCTTGTAGAATTATGCTACTCTAGCCGCCCACAAAGCGGCTTTGCCAAGTGTTTCCCGGAACATTGTTTTCCAGCCCCTAGGGCACTTAACGCGGTGTATTACGAAAAAATCATAATTTTTCAAAATCTAGTTTTGGTCCAGGATTTTTTTCGATAAGTCGTGATCATTTATCATCTATCTAACCACCCACAAGCGGTTTGCTCCAACAATGTCCGGAAGGCCACTATCCGCACTTTGATCAGAATTCGATCAGACACCTGTCATTTGTGAAAATCGACCTAGCTCCAGGATTTATTGCATGAATCTCGTAGAATTATGCTACTCTAGCTGCCCACTAACCCGGCTTTAGCCGAGTGTGCCCTGGAACATTGTTTTTCAGCCCCTAGGGCACTTAACGCTAACTATACGAAAAAATCATAATTTTTCAAAATCGAATTAGGTCCAGGATTTTTTTTCGATAAATCGTGATGATTCATTATATTCTAACCACCCACCGAGCGGATTGTTCCAGTGACGCCCGGAAAGCCCCTATCCGTACTTCGATCAGAATTCGATCAGACACCGTCATTTGTGAAAATCGACTTAGGTCCAGGATTTTATTATATGGGCCAAAATACTTTTCGATGCCTAATTCCAGATGTAGTTTAGGAAAAAACTGGGAAATCAATATGATATTTCTTACAATTATGGCAGCTACATCATCGTGATAGTTGTTCCATGCCATGGTTACATTTGCAGCGAAGTTTTCAATGAGACTACAATGATTTTGGCAGTTTATGTAGGAAGTGGTCGTGAAGTCAACAACAGCGTTACTTTACTACAAAATGAAATTTTATTTTCGAAACATCGCTGGTGAGCTCGCTACTCTGGCGCCCTAAAAACTGTACCACTAATTAGTAAGTAAGTAAGTAAGTAATATCACAGAACTGATCAGTTCAAAGAACTATTTGCTTATAGTTAAGACAACTACGTTACTAATGTCGTATTTATCGACATAAACTTATATAAAATAACAACAGCAAAAAGCGTATACTAAATCAAAATAGCGAGATAAGCTTGGACTTTTGGTTGAAAAACAGGTACAGGAATCAAGACAATTTTCACTTACAAGAAACGCAAACATTATTCTTAATGATGTTCAACACTGGGGACAAAATGGTAACGCAATGGTAACCACAGTAACAAAGTGGTATCATACTCACATCACTTTATGCCTTCATAAAGTAGATCTAGTAGGCTCAAAAATAAACTAAAAAATGAACTTCCGAGGTCATAACGCAATATAAAATAACATAACTGTAAGTTATTAAACTTCATTATCGTACAGTATATACTTCGAATTATTTGCACAGCCATAAAGTAACAAAAATAATTCAACATCTTAAAAACTATTAGGCAAACTTACATAAGTTTTATTTTTCAAAAAACGTTCATGGTTCGTCAAACTGAAGAATGCTCGTTTACCTTTCATGACCATTTTAGGATTAGGAACGATTTGCAAGATATTGTCATAAGGTTCGTAAGATATATCAGTCTCGACTGCTTTAAAAATTTTAGCAGTACAATCTACAGTCTTATAAACATAACCTTGACGTCTCCCTCTTCATCAACAGTACTTTTAGCCATTCCCAGGTAAGTATAATGTTTGTCTTTAACGGAAGAAAACTTTAACTAAAGCATAAACATCATCTGATATCTTCGATGGATGAACGTTTTCTTATGGATTAGCTGTTTTTCTTCCCACGTTAGATACAGATGGCTGGTACAAGTTTGCAAGAACCTCTTCATCAGAGCTAGAAGATGGGAGAGTAAACCCTGTTTTAGTAACTTCTTCTAGATTCGGCAAGGGACATTGGATATATAATAATAATAATAATTAATAATTAAGTCTTTTATTTGTAATATTATTACAGGAGGCGAGATTAGATTCTACCATCTAACCCCTTAACAATACGAGATGTAAAAAAAAAGAATTGTTGAAAATTAATAGGCACCTGTATACAATAACGAATAATCCAAGTAAATACATAAGGAAATATGAGGACACTTATGGGTTACAACCCGATTTTCGCTGTGATCAAGAAGAACTTCTTTCACTTTTTTCTTGAATTTGGATAATGGATTGGCTTCTTTTAAACTTCGGTCTAAAGAATTATATGATTGATCGCATTGTAAATGTATGAATTCTGAATAAGAGACGTGCTGTGGCGTGGAATTGAAAAAGTCTCTCTATATCTAATTATTAATACGATGCATATTCCCTCTTATTGAATTTGTTTACTAAATATGACGGTGTTTTGAATAAGAACCTATGAGTCAGATTTAGGAAGCTGGTACTTATACATTTTATCAATTTCAGCCCATTTGAGTTCATTAATGGCATTCGATATATGATCATATTTTCTGAGATCATTACAAGCCTTGCAACATGTATTATAATACTTTGAATATGATTTCTTGTTTATAATATTTAAATAGGGATAGTAAACTACTAAGCAATACGATATCTTTGAAAATACGAAATATTCACACAATGCTTTTCTCGCAGATTTATGTAATATAGCTTTATTTGCAATAAAACTCTGAGAATAGCGTAGCACTGAGTATTAGATAGTTCACGTGGTGCAGCAAATTTTAAATCATCATCCATTATAATACCTAGGTTTTTCGAATGATCTACAGGAATTAATTTATTATCTTTTAAATGTATGTCTATGTCCTTTTTAAGGTATTCTTTTTGTTCTATTTGCGGTATACTAACATATTTGTCTTCAAAGGGTTCAAACGAAGATTATGACTACTACTGAACTTTTCAATTTGGGCAAGATCTGATGAATTTTTATTATTTGCCGTTTCCAAGTCATTGCTCCTAAATGAATGGAAAATTTGAGTATCATCTGCAAAAAATTGTATGCTGCATGATTTTACCTCTGTCTCTAAATCTGAGATATACAGGGTGTTCCATAATTATTGCGACAAAATGATAGGGGTTGTAGAGGGCATAAAAAATATGCAATTTTGCCTTATAAACCTCTGTTCGTAAATATGCCGTCTGAGCACTACCGCTAATTTTACCTTAAGAGCTCATAGGAGAAACAAAAAATTCACCAGCTGCAAAATGTTCGTCTAGCACATTTCATGGTCTCGCCGGTTTGTAAAAAAAAGCCTGCTGTGTTAACATTTTTGTTATCGTAAATTCTCCACACCGATTCATTTAATTTATGAGTGGTGCGTCAAACTAGATAGTAAATAACAGTACCTTAGTGTTAAAATGCAGCGTTATTCGTATACGGAACTTGCGGATATGCATTTAATTTACGGAGAAGCTGGTGGTAACGGAAGACGAGCCTCGCGAATCTACGCCCAACGGTTTCCAGAACGTCCTCATCCGCATCACGCCATTTTTGCAAGGATTCATGGATGTCTTCATGTCAGTGGCAGCATCAGACACGTCGCGGGAGTAGGGCGGCCCTTCACGAGGCGCACAGTAGAATTTGAGGAAGCGATTCTGCATCATGTAGAGGCCAATCCGCGTACAAGCGTGCGTGCTATTGCACATGATATGGGAGCGTCTCAACTACTGTTTGGCGGGTTCTACATGACCAGCAACTACACCCATACCACCTTTTAAAGTCCAAGCCATGGGTCCAGAAGACTATCTGCCGCGTCGACGTTTTGTCGTTGGTGGCTGCAGCAGGAGTTGAGGCAACCAAACTCTGGTCGCTACGTTTTGTTCACTGACGAGTCCTGTTTTATAAAGGACAGTTATTTTAATAGCCGTAACAGTCACATTTGGGATGAAAGAAAAACCCTCATGCCATAGCCATCATAGAGACCAACATCAGTTTTCAATTAGCATCTTGTGCGGCATTGTGGACGAGCATATCATCGGGCCATATTTGCTTCCACCACGTTTGGATGGGCATGCTTATGGTCGATTCTTACAGCATGTGCTGCCGGAACTATTAGAAAATGTGCCACTGAAATAGGTGGATAGGCCGAGGTGGCCCTGTGCCTTGGCCTGCACGGTCACCCGACCTGACCCCACTGGATTATTTTCTCTGGGGCCATCTGAAAGCTTAGTGTACGAAACTCCTGTTCCCAACCAACATGAGCTACTGGGAAGAGTGATGGCCGCGTCCGCACATGTTCAGGACATACCGGAGGTATGCCACAGAGTTCGCCGATCATTGAACAATCGTGCAACAGCTGTGTATGAGCAAGGTGGAGGACACTTTGAGCAATTACTGTAGGTAAGCTGTTTCAAGAAACTGATCTTTTTTGTTGCTGCAGCCCCCAAATGGCATATTTCCGAACAGGGGTTTATAAGGCAAAGTTGTTCATTTTGATGCCCTCTACAACCCTTATCATTTTGTCGCAATAATTATGGAACACCCTGTATAATGAAAATAATAGCGGTCCTAAGACTGATCCCTGTGGTTGCACCAGAACAAATTTTTTTGTTCCGTAGAGTACTGTTGATTTAGACGAACTTTTTGATACCGATTTTCAAGGTAGATTTGAATAAACGAAAGAGGTTTTTCAGAAAATCCATAGTAACTGCATTTAGATACAAGAAGTGAGTGATTAATGGTGTCAAATGCTTAGTAAAGTCAAGAAGTATGAGAGCTACTGCTTTTTGGTTATCAAGTGCCATTGTTATATGTCTGTTAAATCACAGAGTGCCGAAAACTGTATTATGACCTTGTCGAAATCCAGATTGTTTAGATGGAATAATTTGTTACAATATAAGTAGGCGCAGAGATGCTCGTAAACAACGCGTTCCAATACTTTAGAAAAATTGGCAGTAGACTGATCGGTCTCAGTTGACCATAGTTAGTAGGATCAGAACACTAGGTAGCGGAATAACTATAGCGCGTTTCCACTGATTGTGGAAATATCCCCTCTCTAAACAGCAGTTATAATATGCGTTAGGTACACATCAACTCAGGTTATACATAGTAGTATCATATTCAAGTTATTCCATCTGTACCACTAGAATTTGATTTTATTTTATGTATAATTTTAACAACGGTGTCAATAGTCACTTTATTAAATTGAAATTTGAATTTTGAGTTATTTTTATTAGCTCGGTAATATGCAATTTTATCAGCATAAGCCAAATCACTATTCTCGAAAATTGAAATGAATGCCTCATTTATTTTATAAGGATCTGACAAGCTCACGGGAATTGTAGAATCTTTCTGAGATTGTACTTTGAAAGTCTTTTATATCCTGATTTTGAGCAAGCTTATAAATAATCTCTTTTTCCTCTTCGCACGAGCGATAATGCACGATTTTTGAAATATGTATACTGTTGCCAAGAGTTTTTAAATTGCTAATAACTGGATGGAGGTGTGTTCAAATAGACACGGGAGTGTGAGAGTTATTTCCAGAGATGGTACAAAATGACATTATCGACGGTATGTACCTCTCCTTCTGTTTTGGTGTACATAACTCCAGTATGTAATGTAACCCGCTTTCTCGAGCCGCCAAAATGGTGGCACTGCACTTCTTCAAAACATTTGCAGCTATAGTTCTCGCTGAAATCGATGTGTAGAACGATTTCATCAGTCTTCAAATTATCCATAGCATCTCTATAACTCCCATACTGTGGTTATGTTAAAGATATGTTTTTTCAATTCTCTCAGGGTTTTATTAAACCTTCCTGTTAATTCTGGAACAGTCCCTTCAACAATTTCTTTTACGTTTTTTGTAATCTTCACTTTGTTACTTGACCTCTCTATCACTTCACACTTTCTTACACACTGAGGCCATTTAACTTATTGTGAGTGAAGGTCATTCCGTATATTACATACTATTTTTTAGTATTGCAGTCTCCACAGTTACCAGTCATGCACGCTTTTCTATTTGTTGAGCATGCTAAGCTTGTCACGAGGTTGCTCATATTTGGAACAGGAATGATTTTGTTTTTATATACTGCGTGTTAGTATGTAACTTGCATAGGCAAGTTTCTCTACCACCAACTGTAGGCGGCTTTGCATAGAACGGTCGATGTCTTATGAAGTATGAATATGATCATCTCTCACGTATAAACTCTTTCTTGAATGAACAGTAAAGGTTTTTCATGTGTCCAGTAAATATCGTTTTTGACTTTTTACTTTTTTGTAGGTTACAGTTCTCGCTTTCCCGCTATAGCTCTAGAAACATCGTCGCGATTAAAGAACTCCATGATTTTTCCAACAAGGCCCGATTTGTTAGAGAGTCAGCTTGCGTTTTAGCTGGTCAATGCTGAAAGTCCCACGCACAATAGCAGTCTTCATTTTTGACTTTGATATGGCTTCTCCGTGGGAAAACTTGTCTTAGAGCTCTCTTTTCTTTTACTGTTGTCAGTCCTTTGTAATGAACCCTAATATCATTTGATAATGTAGAATATTTATTGTTATCAGGATTGATCCTATGCTGTCTAACCCTTTGATACCTCTTCTTGTACTTATTACACTTATTTTCTAGTCTCTCCAGTTCTTCCTGTAATTTCACATATTGTCTATATAACGCAGATCGGTCGCGTCTCACCCGTTTCGTGCCGGCCTCTACACCTGGGAGAATCTGGAGTTCCTGAACGTGGTGTGGAAGGCGGCGTGTTTTCTACCAGTTGCTGTCGTTCTCTCGCCG